CACAAATTTGAATATATTTTTTCTCATGTTTAGATTTGGAAATAGAATGTGTATGTTCCCAATGCATTTGTGTGTATGGAAATAAAAGCTATTAGAAGGATTTTGAGCTTTATTCACTTTTTTCAACACACTGCTATTTTTTGAACACAACTGTAAATGTATTAGGCTAAAAAATACTCAGGTTTAACCACTTGACCATCAGAAAGGTTTTACCCTCTTCCTGGCCAGGCCATTTATTGCTATTTGGCATTGCACAACTTTAACTGGTAATTGCACAATGATACAACCCTGTACCCAAACAAAAAAAAAAATTCCCACACATCTTTCTTTTCACATTTCGCTTTCTTTGGTGGTATTTGATCACCACTGTGTTTTTTATTTTTTGCGATATGAACAAAAAAAAGACCAAAAAGTTTGACAAATAGCAATATTTTCTACTTTCTGTTATAAAAAAATATCCAGTAAATCCCAAAAAAGTGTATATGGATTGGTTTGTGTGAAACTTATAGCATTTACAAACTATGATATAAATACTGGAATTTAAGCAGCCTTTACTTTCTGACTGCCTATCATATTTCTTGAGGTGCTAAAATGCCAAAGCAGTGTCAAAATCCCCCAAATGACCCCTTTGTGGAAAGTAAACACCCCAAGGAATTTGCTGAGAGGCATGTTAAGCCCATTTTATTTTTTGTCACAGGTTTTCAAGAAATTACACAAAAAAAGTTTTCCTTATTTTTACACAAAGTTGTTATTTTAATAAGATATTTCTCACACATGACATGGGTATATGTGGAATTGCACCCCAAAACACATTCTGCTACTTCTCTAGAATATGGCAAGGTAATTCCCAACACCACAAAGAAAAGAAAAGACTCCTTTACATAGTTACATGGTTAGTCTGGCTGACAAAAGACAAAAATCCATCCAGGGGCATCAGTTCAACCATTAAGAAAAAAAAAAAGTTATAATCCTACACCCACAGTTTGATCCAGAGGAAGGCAATAAAAACAGCAAAGCATGATCCAATTTTCTCCTGCAGGGGAAAAACTTCCTTCTTTATTCCCCGAGAGGCAATTGGAGATTCCCTGGATCAACTTTACCTATAAATGTTAGTATCCAGTTATATTCTGTGTATCTAAGAAAGAATCCAGGCCTTTTTTAGACTCTTGAGGGAGTCTATTCCACATTTTCACAGCTCTTACTGTGAAGAAACCTTTCCGTGTTTGGACATTTCTTTTCCTCCAGATGTAAAGAGTGCCCCCTTCTCCTCTGTGATGACACCAGGGTGAATAACTCTACACCGAGGTCATATGAACCACTGATGTATTTAGCTCCTCCATGCCTCTTGTCAGTTTGGTTGCCCTTCTCTGAATTTTCTCCAGTTCCCCAATTTTCTTTTTGTGAATTGGTGCCCAAAATTGAACTGCATATTCCAGATGAGGTATTACTAATGAAACTGCAGCTTGGCGTTGCATGCCATTATTAAGCTTGTGATCTACCAGAACACCCAGATCCTTCTCCACCATTGATTCCCCAAGTTGTACCCCTAGTTGATACCCCTAGTATGTATGATGCATGCATATTCTTAGTCCCCAAGTGCATCACCTTAAATTTATCAACATTAAACCTCATTTACCACATAGTTGCCCAATTAAACAGTGCATTGAGGTCGGCTTGTAAGTTTAAGACATTCTGAAAGAACGTTATTCCACTGCACAGCTTGGTGTCATCTGCAAAGACTGAAATGGTATTTTTAATCCCAGACCCTATATCGTTTATAAATATATTAAAAAGTAAGTGTCCCAACACTGAACCTTGGGGTACACCACTGACAACCCTAGACCATTCTGAGTATGAATTATTAACCACTACTCTCTGAATACGATCTTTTAGCCAGTTTTCTATCCATTTACATACAGATTTTTCCAACCCTTTAGACTTTGCCTTACACATTAGCCGTGTGTGGGGAGCTGTGTCAAACGCTTTTGCAAAATCCAAGTATACCACGTCCACCGCCACCACTCTGTCCAAGGTTTTGCTCACTCCTCATAAAAAGAAATCAGATTTGTTTGACAACTTCTGTCTTTCATGAATCCATGCTGTCTGTTGCTTAACTAATACACGCCCGGCCAATGGCCAAAAGGCGGTCGGCAAAATGTACTGCATTTCCGGGTTGGAGGCCAAATGGCATCCTCCCGCACATGCGCGCTTTTCGCGCTTGCAGAGCTGCGCAGCAGCGCGATCGGTCACCGGCCGTGTACCTCGGACACGGCTGATGACAGATCAGAGTATCGGTCCTGTTGCTGGTACCATGAGACCTGCTGTGATTGGTCACAGCAGGTCACATGACAGTTGTATACAATGGATGGCTTTATTCATGCCATCCATTGTATACTACTGTCTAGCTGTGAATGGTCACAGCTAATCACATGCACATGTCATGTGATTAAAAAAAAAAACCCTGAATGAATCGATGTCATTCAGGTAAATGCTTGCTTATAGCAAAGTAATTCTTTGCTATAAGCAAACTGTGTAAAAAAAAAATACTGATCACTTCTCCAAAGTAGTACAATGTTACTATGGTAACATTGTACTACTTTGGACATAGTGAAATATGAAAAACAAATCTTAAAAAAAATGTAATAAAAAATTAAAAATAATAAAAAAATATATATATATATTTTTTTTTTTCATACTGTCACCAGTCATTGTCCCTGATCACCTCCATGCCAGTTATATGAAGACGCTGTACTGCACTGGTGACAGTATGTAAAAAAAAATAGTGAAAATAATTTTTTGCATTTTTTCATTTTCCGAAAAATTATGACCAAAAAAAATACAACTTCAAAAAACTCGCTATGCCTCTTATGAAGTACGTAGGACTGTCTACTCTGCAAAAAGGGTCATTTGGGGGATATCTGTACTGTTCTGACATTCTTGGACCTCAAGAAATTAGATTGGCCGTCAGTACTTCAGGATTGATCAATATTCAGATCTATCCCATAGTTTGTGAACTCTATAACTTTCCTACAAACTAAAAAATACATCCTAATTTTGGTTATTTTCACCAAAGACATGTAGCAGAATGCATCTTGGCCTAAATTTTATGAAGAACAATTATTTATTTGCAAACTTTTATAACAGAAACAAAGAAAAACGTTTTTTTTTTCCAACTTTTTGGTCTTTTTTTGATAATTTAGCAAAAAAAAAAAAACCCCAGCGTTGATTAAATACCACCAAAAGAAAGCTCTAGTTGTGTGAAGAAAATGATAAAATTTTAGTTTGGGTACAATGTTGTATGACCGTGCAATTGTCATTCAAAGTGTGAGAGCGCTGAAACCTGAAAAATGGCCTGGGCAGCAAGGTGTAAAATTGCCTGGTATTCAAATGGATAAACTATTTTTTTTTCCAGCAAGAACTCATCTATGTGGTATTTTATTAAACTCTCCAATATCTTCCCAAACTATAGAAGTTAAACTAACAGGTCTATAATTACTTGGTAAAGATCAGTGCCATATACAGTATGAGTGACTTGGTAAAGATTTTGACCCTTTTTAACCACTTGCCTACAGGACACTTATACCCCCTTCCTGCCCAGGCCAGTTTTCAGCTTTCAGTGCTGTTGCACTTTGAATAACAATTGCACAGTCATGCAACACTGTACCCATATGACATTTTTATCATTTTTTTGAGACAGATAGAACTTTCTATTTGGTGGTATTTAATCACCTCTGGTTTTTTTATTTTTTGCTAAACAAACCGAAAACTGAAAATTTTGGGAAAAAAAAAATTTTTCTTAGTTTTTGTTATACAATTTTGTAAATAAGTGATTTTCTCCTTCACTGATGTGCGCTAATGAGGCTGCAGTGATGGGCACTGATAGGCTGCACTGATGGGCACTGATAGGTGGCACTGATGAGCACTGATGAGGAGGCACTAGTAGGTGGCACTGATGGGCATTGACAGGCATCACTGATATATGGCACTGATAGGCGGACTGATAGGTGGCACTGATAAGCGACACTGACTGGCACTGATAGGCGGCACTGACTGGCACTGCTAGGTGGCACTGACTGACACTGTTAGGCAGCACTGATAGACAGCACTAACATGCAGTGATAGGTGGCACTGATGCACACTGACAGGCGGCACTGACTGGCTCTGACAGGCGGCATTGATTGGCAGCACTGATAGGTGGCACTGACTGGCATTGATAGGTGGCACTGACTGGCACTGATAGGTGACACTGAAAGGCAGCTCAGATGGGCACTGATATGTGGCATTGATGTGCACTGGTAGGAACTGATATGTGGCATTGATGTGGCACTGATGGGCACTGGCAGGTGGCATTGATGAGCACTGACAGCTGGCATTGATGGACAATGACAGGTGGCACTGCTAGGGCTACACTGATCATCGGGGCACACTGATCATCAGTGGCCTGATGATCAGTGTACATGTCCTCTCCGAGAAACCGATTACCGGCTTTCCTCTCCTCTCGATCTGTCAGCATGACAGCTCGTGAGGAGAGGAATACCAATAACCAGCATTTCCCTATTTACATGCGATCAGCTGTAATTGGACACAGCTGATCACATGACCGAGCCAACATCTTCAGCTTTTTTCCATTGATCGGTGATCCGCTGTGTCCGAGGGACACAGCACACCACCATGCACGGCACTGCGCGCTCCCAGAGCCGTGCACACGCGGTTAGAGTGGGAGGACGTCATATGACATCCTCCCAGAACGAGAGAGCCGCCTTGCTCCTGTCATTACCTTATATGGCGGCGGGCGGGAGGCGGTTAAATATTGGCACCACGTTGGCCTTACGCCAAACCAGTCATTAAAGAGTCCCTAAAAATGAGAAACAATGACTTTGAAATGACAGAGCTCAATTCTTTAAGGACCTGTGGGTGTATGCCATCTGGTCCAGGTGCTTTATTCACCTTTATTTTGTCTATATATTTTTGGATTAGCTCTGTCTATACAAAGGAGCTCCATTGTATAGACAGCTGAAGAAGGTATTTAATACATTTGCCTTCTCTTTTGATTTTGTAAAGGGCCTACATGCCCGGACCAGACCTTTTTACTATTAATATATTTGAAGATTTTTTTTGGGGTTGGTCCTGCTATCTTTTGAAATCTGTCATTCGTCTTCAATTTTTGCAGCCTTTATTTACTTTTTGCATATTCTGTTATATTCTTTGTAATTTTTAAACGATGATAGTGTTCCTTCATTTTTATATTTAATAAAAACTATTTTCTTATTATCTATAGCTTTTTTAACATTACTCATAAGCCACATAGGTTTTATTTTTAGCCTTTTAAACTTGTTGCCCATTGGAATATACTTTGCAATTTGTTCACATACAGTCTTTTGTAGAACTCCCATTTCTGTGTTGTGTTCATTGATGCCAATATTCCCTCCCACTCTAAGTCTTGGAGAGCAGCACTCAGCCTTGGAAAATTAGCTCTCTTAAAATTGAGCATTTTTATTTTTCCCGTATGCGCTTGCTGTTTACAGCTAACAATAAATTAAATCATGTTATGGTCACTGCTACCCAGATGTTCTTTTACATGGACATATGTAATAAGCTCTGCATGGTTTGAGATTACCAGGTCCAGCAGAGCATCATTCCTAGTTGGGGCCTCTATGAACTGTACCATAAAATTGTCCTGTAGTAGGTTTAAACATTTTTGCCATTTACACTCATCACACTCTCCAACAGCTAGGTCCTCTTTCACACTCACTCTGAGATCACTTCTCACATAGAGACAGACACCTCCACCTTTCCTATTTACCTGTCTCTCCAAAAGAGAACATAGCCAGGAATATTAATGGCCTGGTCATGTGAAGAATGAAGCTAAGATTCATCAACACCAATTAAATCGTAGTTCTGTTCATGCACCAAAGCTTCCAACTCACCTATTCTGCTTGGCAGACTTCTGGCATTGGTGAACAAACGCTTTAATGCGTTGACACCTTGTGCACACGTATTTTGCATATTTTATATTTTCATGTAAATGGTACCAATTCCACTGGTTGTTTGTAACATGGGAACCTTCTTATCATCTGCCATAGCCCTCACCCCATCTTTCCCCATTCCACCCACTAATAAGGACTGACCCCTGTCTGATCTGTCTGCCCCATTATAATCTAATTCACTCTCCCCCCTGGATCCTGGATCCTAGTTTAAATACTCCTCCATCCTCCCCATAAACCTCTCCCCCAGCACAGCAGACCCCCTTCCATTTAGGTGCAAACTATCTCTAACATATAGGTTGCATCCCAATGAAAAGTCATCCCAGTGCTCTAATCTCCCCCTGTCTCTCCTGAGTTGCTCATGGCACAGGTAATATTTCAGAGAATATCACCTTGGAGGTCCTTCCCTTCAACTTGCAGCCTAGTTCTTTAAAATGATTCTTAAGGAGCCTTCACCTTCCATGTATCCTGTCATTGGTTCCAATATGGGCCAAGACAGCTGGGTCATGCCCAACCCCTCCCAGTAATTTATCAACCCAGTCCAACACATGCTGAACCCTGGCACCAGGAAGACAGCAAACCATTCGGTTGAGGCCATCCTGGCAACTAATTATTCTATCAGTCCTTCTAATTATATATAATCTCCTACTACCACCAGTTGTCTATGCCTTCCTGCACTACCCTCACCACCCTTCCCAGATAGTCTGCCCTCCCGGCTGATAGGGATAGCAGTGACATCCAGGTCTGCCACCCCTGAGCTTGAAACCCCCACATCTTTACCCAACTTGGCAAATCTCTTTAAGTGCACAAACCCAGGGCCAGCCCTCCTTTTCTGTGAGCTTCTACTACTCCCTCTCGTTACAGTAACCCATCTTCCTACCTGATAATCATGATAGCCCCTCTGCCCTCCACATAAATCCCATTAGCTACCTACTCAGAGAGCAGAAGATCCTTTTCAAGGTTGTCGGTTTTGCCAAGTGTTGTCACTTGCTCCTCCAGATCTCCAGAAGGACAACCCGCTCACATATTTAGAAGGATGCTGGATCATGCCAATGTTCCAGATAAATCTTCTTCGCCACTGGTGTTAGATAATTAAATGCCACACTCTCCAGAAGGTTTTGACCCCCTGTTAGGATGGTCAAACAGCACTAGGTTCCAGAAGCGTATTTTCTCATAAGGTGGATCTCCAGGCTCCCCTTCATTTAATTGTATCTTTCAAATAGACTCAATAAAACAATGAATGAATACCCATAAAAAAGTATCTAAGTGCAGTATTTATAAAGAATAATAGTTCCATATAAAATATATTAAAATCACACTCACATGGTAAGATGCCTACAATCCCAGCACCAGTTAATACAGCCTGTAAATGTACAGATGTCACCGCACCTCCTACAATAGTTGGCATGCGTTCAAAGCCTCAATCTGACGGGCTGGATGTGACGGTCCACACTTCTATGTACGTTTCACCTGATTACATTTTCAGGAAGAAGATGCCGCCAGGTGAAATGTACGTAGAAGCATGAGCCGTCACTTCTGGGTCCCATATGATGTCAAATCTGGCATGTTAGATCGAGACATGGAACGCACACCTATCATTGTAGGGGATGTGGTGAAATCTTGACATATACAGGCTGCATTAACTGCTGTTAGTATATAATTTCAATGGCATAGTGACTATTCCCACTGTAACAATACCAAAGCATGAAATGTAGAATTTTTTATTTTTGGAATTATTATTATTATTATTATACAGTATTTATAAAGCGCCAACAGTTCAGTGCTGTACATTACAGTGGGA